AATATTTTATCAATATTCTTGCTAAGATCTAGAGGCAAAAAAGCTGTCCCTGCCCAGCTATCATGGCAGTTTTAAGAATATTTCTTTTTCCAGCAAAATTGAACTATTTATATTAGCTAGACAGCAGGTGCTGCTGGCACGTCTGCACCGGAGTAACAGTCCGAAGTCTATGTGAATTTGTAGTGATCCAGTCTGGGTCTCAATCAATCAATCAATCAATCAGTCAATCAAACTTTTATTTCGAACACATTAAGGATCTATAAAATAATAAAAGATGAAATATAATAATAAATACAAAAAAATGCATTAACATGTTGTCAACGTTAATAATTAATCAACATCCAGTCAAAGATATAAGACTGACAAAATGCAAAATGAAGACTGGTCAGTGTAACACCTGGGTTTTATGCTTTTTATCAACTGTAAGAGATTATCTCACATTAGCAGATAGGCTGATCTAAATTTTGGCACTCGCACAGTGAAAAGATGCACAGCCGAAAGAACCACTAATACATATATCACCTTTGTTTATTTTGATTATGCCTATAGCTTGAACACTTGTAAATAGTCTGGTAATTGACCATTAAACCATTTATACAATGTATTTAAATACTTTGCTCCCTTAGCAATGTATAAAATAACTTTATTGTAAGACCAGGCTTGAACTGGCCTTGAACAGATCCTGATGAAGTCCACAATCCGAAGCACTTTGGTCTTGCAATAAAGTTGTTCTATACACTACAAATGTTGCTGGAATTTTGACCTTTTCAGTTTATTTTTCCTCATCTATGCACCTTGGCACTGGGTGAGCTTGTGCCAGAAGTTTCTGCTTTGGCCCCCTTAGGAACGTGAAACCATTTCAAATGTCCTATATTCAAGTTTTCCCTTTATTGTAATCAAAGCTGGAATGTTTCATAGACCATGTTGTTGCTAAGAAAGACCATGGAATTAAAAATGACATTAAGATTTGTTTAGATGAAAAGCAACTCTTCTCTATCATATTATGGATATTGCACTTTTAACATATTTTACAATTGCAATATAATACAAGTAACAGGACCATCAGCGCATATATTATACCTTTATGTATATGACTCCAGGAGGACATGACATGGAATTAACTGTACACATGGGACACTTTGCAAAACCTGTCCACTTAGCTACACACCACTTTTAATCTCCTTCACTGCTTTTGTACTGCCACTTTTTTATGCCCTGCAACTAATAGGCCACCAGGTGGGAGCCAAGCATGTACCCCATTGCTACAGAGAGACTGTACAGGAGTAAAGTGGGTGTGCTTCAAAGAACTGAGGAAAAGGTGATGGCGTATATGGAATGGAAAAAATCAGCAAGAAAAGAAAGCCTTCTGATTGAGGACATAATCGTTCGGAGGGCTCTAGCACGTAACCTAAATAATACATTTCAGATTCTGATATAACTATTACTGCCTGTGAAGAGCGCTTTGATGTTAATTGAAACCACTGGGCAGCAATCTGCTTTATAGCACTGACAAATAACAGTTTCCTAAGTCTAAGCACTGAAGGTTACCAACCAGAGAAGGCACATACTCGCTCCATATGCTCATTTGATATAAATTAAAAAAAAACAAAAAAAAACTTGTCTTCATGGAGGCAAGTAGAGTATGCTGAGTTGTGGTGTGTAAAAAAAATGCTGTTTTATAATTCTTAGCAGTACCTTCACTGCTGGACAAAGCCTGACTGTACTGTTTTCACTATTCCCAGTAGTTTGCATACAGAAACCAGAGCTCAGCTTGTTAATACAACAATAAAATGTGCTGTGCATGTTGGTGGCCCAATAGAAACTCCTGCATTGGTAAGATATCATTATCCACAAAGATGTCTGTCTCTTGTATTTCTGATTTTTTCAGGCCATACAATAGTTTGAAGAATGGAGGAGATGATTGCGGGACTGTGGGCTCTGTTTTTAATACAGACACAACACAATGGTCTCTGTTTTCCTTTACTGTGCTTTAGTACATTCTGGCACCATGCTCTCCTCATCTTGTATTCTTCCTTGGCTTTTTGAGATACTCATTATATCACAAAAAGAAATCCTTGTCCAAGGGTCATTCGGAGCTGATGCAATGCATAATAACAGAAAACATACATCCATCTTGAGCACAAACACATTGGCCAGAGCATCGGAGAGGGCTATATGATGATGGAAGAAGTTCAAAGTGATTTTTTCCTCCCCCCTTCCCATTTGATACCACATCAGAGTGTGTATAGGGGCGACCTTGCCTTATGCTGAACCCTACAGGTTGGACATGAGAGGAGAAATGCCTGATTCACTGTAGGACAAATGACAGGCATTTCTGAAGAAGGTAATTGGCTTGTCTGCCTGTAAAAAGCCTGTACATCGTGATTGTTCACAGAGCTTCAAGTCTGACTATCAAACAAAAAACATCCTGAGAACTTTTTCCTCTTTGACATGTTCCCCATCACTGTGACTGACAGTGAGAACATGTAAGTAATAGTTTCATGTGTCCCCAAAAGTAACACACTGTAATGATGGATTGGGGTTATAGATTGAAAGGCGTGGTGTAGATTTTCAAAAGATTTTGACATCACCAGAACAGCATGAGGGCATTTATGGTGCTGAACTCAGGACTGGTGCTCTAAACATTAAAAATACAGTAATTAACAGCATTTTTTTTTTTTTGCTAAGATCTATAAAGTCACAGGCTATAAACTTAGTCAACCTGGCTGTGGCAACAAATTTGACTACTAGTAATTATAAGGCTAACTAATTAATACATTATATTTTGTCACATTAAAAAAAAGTTGCTGTTTTGTACTGTAGTTACTGTATGCATGGCCAGTGACTTGTTGGAGTCTTATCACAGTGACTAGACTGGCATAAAACCACAGCTTCTTGTTGTTAAACTTCAGTTTTTGTGTGATTATGTGTTAGTTAGGGAGCTTCAAAGGTGCTGCAAGGCTGATTTTGTTACTTTCAAACAAAACCAGGATAGCTGTTGCCCCGTTTCTGCTAAGTTAAACTAATGAACCACCTGCTGACTATAGCCAAAATTTTTCTGGACAGACATGAGAGTGGTATAAATCTTTTCATCCAAGTCTTGGCAAGAAAGCAAATTAGTGTATTTTGAAAAATGTCCAAATATCCCTTTAAAGTAATGAGATTTTCTGTCTTCATGAACTACATTACAGTTTTAATAAAGTAACTAGTACAGTAAGTATACATTTTTAAATCAATCCACTTAATTATGCTCAAAGCAATTCCCTCTACCATGGCTCTAAAATGATGCCACAAATCCCCATTACTAAGAACAAGGCTATGCGATTTAAATGGTGTATATACTTTGTGAATCATCTAATAAGCCCCACCATGCACACATGATTCTTCATTCCTGGGGGCAGTGAGGACATTGACAACAAACCACCAGTGAGCTTCTTGCAGTAATTGTTGAACAAGGTAAGTGGTTTGCCAGTCAATAAAGCCTCTATACTTTATTTTCACTCAGTTCCAGACCTGACAAACTCAGCCGAAAAAAAAGTGAACCTTGTGTTCCTTGAAATGTTAACCATAAAGGTGACTGACAGTGGGAATGATATGATATATGAATGAAGGCAGATTTTGACATCGTAAGATAATAAATGACATTATTATTTACAGCATAAGATTTTTTTCATGACAGTAACTCTAAGAAGACATTATAGGCTTCCATATGTTCATGTGAAAAAAACGTATACATGCATGCACATGGATTTAGTTTTCACAAAACAATTCCAAGGATATTTTTCAAACACTATCTCTGTTTGGAAGACCAGAACAGAGGAGAGGAAATGTAGGTTATAAATAGGAATCAAAAGAACCCAGTCCATTTATTAGTAAGGGATACCAGAGACAGCCACAACTTTGAAAGTGTAAGAGCTTTTGAGCATTTTACAAGACAGGTGAAAGAAACGTGTGCTAAATCACTGTACCCAGCTCCCTGGTTCAGCTCTGCCATAAAAGAAAAGAGATTACAAAGGAAACTAATGAAGACAGTGATCAAAGTCTGTAATGGTAATATGTAGCAGGTGTTTCAGTCCCCCCCCACCCCACTCCCACCACTGCTTCTGCAGCCGTGAATCCGTCTCCCATATTTCACATGTGCTTTGATAGGAACAATGGACAGAACACATTTCAGCACTATTCAAAGCATGTTATGAGCAGTCTGGATGAACCCTTGGAAAGTAGGCCTACGTTAACCATGGGTGTTACACAAAGGCAGCCACATAGACACTCTGTGTTTGAGGTGCACTTTCATGACTGGTAGTGAGTTGAAAAGGGCTGACATGGTTCAAGCCCACACCATCAGAAAAGCACCTGGATTTGAGATGCATATAAGAGTTGAAGGAAGGTTGGCAGGACTTGAACTGGAGAATGTTCAAAGCATGATCGTTATTTTTACACATGAGATGAAAATGGTAATGCTTTTGTTTGACAAAAATGAGCAAGCATATGGAATATCCATTTTGAAGATATTTTGAAGAAAATATTTACTTTATGTTTTAAAAAAAAGTTTTCCTTGAAAATTTGATACAAAAATATTCTTGCACCTCTACAACAAATAACAGCATCAACAACAAAAATAATAATGATCACCTAGTATTACTAAAAAATAATATTCGTGTGTAGTAATAGTCTGTTTTTAAATATATTTTTTCAAATTGATTAATTTATTTTTCACAGCCATTTTAATAGGGCTCTACAACTTAAATCGCCGTTTTAAAACCATATTGAGCGGCATGTCTACAATTTGTAGCTCTGTACCTGCGCTGCACCTGCGCAGTGCACCAGTTAGAGCGTGCTGAAACTGCTTCCGCCTCGAGCACACAATTACTCTGGGATTTGTAGTTCTACTTGCTACGCTTTTATCATCTTCTTCAACAATTCCTTCAAAAAAAAAACATTATTCACAAAATCTCGTGACAATAAGACTCTGACTGAAATAACACAAAAGGGTGGCTAATACAACTGCTATTTCTAAAAAGAAAATAGCTTGGGGCACCATTATTCGGGTACTACAACAACCAATGTTCCTTCTAATGAAACCGAGGCAGTGTAAACACAACTCCAGGAACATGAAAAGATCGGCTGACAGTGAGGGGGAGAAGAGAAGAAAGGTATTGATAGCGTTTTTCTCCGTTAGGTCTGGCATATTTCTAAGCCCTGTTGCTCGTTGAATGTCTAATGCTCCTTATGTCATGTTGCTGGCTACATTTTGAAGGCTAGAAAGCCGCGAATGTCAGCGCATACCTCACCTTGCCTGTTTCCTTTATTGTGTTTTCCATTTTTGCCCCCAGTCTACCACATTGAAGAATTACAGTTACATTGAAACGGTGTTTTGTCACGTTATTACACTGCTGATAAGAAGCTGCAGCTTGCAAAATAACATCTTAGCAACATTCCATATCAAGTGGAAATGCCATATGAGTTACAATATGAGGATATTCGTCAGAGAATAATGAAAATCATGGCCATAGTTTAGGTTAGATATTAGCAGGCAATTAAAAAAAATAAATAAATAAAAACAGAAAAGCTGAATTCTGGGGTAATACTCTGGTGTGATTGCAACAGTGATAATAAAAGGCAAAATTGGTTTGTGGTATATCTCAGATTTGGCCAGCTGCCAGGCGAGCAGGCTACACATTGTTGAAGACTTTACAGTAAATAGAGTAGATAACAGGTGGTGCTGTGATGAACAGGAGAAATAATAACCTACTGACCGATGTTGGGTTAACTGCTCATAAAAATAGGCTCTTTAAATATGCCAGCTGCAGAGCCTCCAAATGTATGAAAGAGATGTGTGAAGGATTATTTTCACATAATGTGAATATAGATGGCTGTTGCCTGTGCAGGCTGTGTTTTTGTGATAAACTGGGCTTAATCAGGCTTTAACATACAGCATTAGTGTAACTTTTACCATTTGTTGATATACTAATGAGAAAGGAAGGAAAGGACTCTGCTGTGCCCAGAGCATTCTAGGCTGTGGTTCACCTACAGTCATAGTGTCTGTCTGTCTGCCTTTCTTCTCCTTCTCCTCTTATCTCCTGACTTGGATGCGTCTGCTGTGGCACATGTGTTTGGATCATGTTAGACAGCAGTGAAACTATGTAGGACGTGGTTCCTCCTGTTTATGAAAGCAGCATGGCGGCCAGATGAGCAGCTCAGAGAGAGAACTCATTCCAGCTGGCCCCCAGGCAGTCAGGCAGCACTGCACAGACCTAATTGCATAGCTTTCTTATTCTTTAGATATATAAAAGGATGAGCAAAAGGAACTGTAACTGCAAAATAACTAACTGATTGTAGAGGAACCAAGGAAGGAGTGCCATGCATTTTGGACAGGTTTTGTGCTCAGTGGCTGTATAATGATACCGTTATTATGATAACTGATAACTTGGATATAATGGCTGTCTTATTCAGTGAGCACATTTGTTTGCTGCACGAAGTGAGAGATGTAGTACGATGGGTCCACTGTCATTCTGAGTTAGAAAATGCAAGCGCCAACAGATTAGTGGCAAATGAATACAGAGTCGCCCTAGAAAATGCCGCCACAGCAAATCTACTGACTGGCATACTGACAGGTAGGATGCCATGTTTGGTATTATCTTAAGTGAAACAGAATCAGACAGCAGCCCACTGGCCCAGGAAGAATAACCCCACCTCAGCCACATTAATACATATTTTATTCAATTGAGCAATCTGAAATAATTGTAGTTTAAACATAAACTGGTGTATGGAGCCATCAGACATTGATTGACACAGTGTGTGCTTTGCTGTTTCAACTGGAAAAATGGCAGACTATTTGTTTGTGCATTGCAATAGATTCTCAGGTAGTAACATTTTTATGAGGTGCTTCCAAATAGCAACATTCAACTCCCATTGTACCTTAATGAATTGAAAACATTTCATTATGTTTTATCAGTCTTGTCATCACAGGATGAATTTCCACTCATGCCTTGGCAAGTGTGAAAACAGCTCTGACCCTGTCCCTTAACCCTGTGTTTTAATGCTGTCTTTGAAGCAAGCTTGCCATTTGGACAGTGATGACAAGTATAAACTGCTGTGTCGAAACAGGAAGTGTGTGTGAGCAGCAGGCTAAGTAATGATCACACAGGGTCACCAGATGTTGTGAGGTCCTGGGCTCAGCCCAGCCCATTGCTTAGCTCAGCCTCATTGGCTTGCTCGGGTTGTGGCACCTAGTGCAAGCTGTTTAGGGTATTTAATTTCTGAACACTCATTAAAATGGTTTGTGCTTCCCTTGGCAATTCAGTTAAATTAACAACTAGCGAGGTAAAAGCTGATTATGTGGCCACACATCCAGACATGGTTAATCAATTTACTCCCACAAAATGTTAGCTGGTGAATTAGTGTAAAGGAAACGATTTATGGCAACTAATGGTGACGTCCTGTCATGTCAGGCCTAGTGTTTTAGCAAGAGGGGGGTGTCACATTCAGCACATTCAGCAGCTTTGCACACTGCTGGCCATCTTTTTCTCCCTCTTAACTCAGGCTACATGCTGCTTGCTCTATTAATGAGCCAATAATGGAGAAATAGTGTTGGGTGCTGACATAAAACATGGGTATGGATACCTAAGGCAGGGTAGCACATAAGCTCTAACAGAGCTAGATTTACACCTCAGCTCTGTGCAGAATGGTAGAAAGGGGAACACTCGGCATGGGGGCTCTCACAGCTTCATCAGACCCCCACTAGTCGAACTGTGGAAAAGCCAGGGTTCAGAAAAATACAGCACTGGCAGATAATGATACCATTACACTAATGGAGCTGGCAAATGAAGGAGAACCCAGATGCCCTGCTTTATTACCGGAGGGGGTCATTTCCTCGCTGCATTCCTAATGGCTTGAGCATACAGTATTGATCAGGCTATCATGCTGCTAATCCTGTACAGAATTACTTATCGCTGGCTAGGTGTTGATCCACCACATGCCCTGCTCTGGCCTTGCCTCTGGATGGCAGCTGCGTGTCCAGCAGGGGCCAACTGGGCTGTTTATTCAGTCATGATTTAGGACCAAGCAGTGGTGGCGTCTGGGAGGTCTTCAGTGGTGGGCTGCCCAGTTCCATGTGTAAAAAAGGAGGCAAATGAACCTAACAGCTTTCATTTAATTAAGGAGCAGGCAATGATGTGGTTCCCCCCCTTTTTATGGCCCCACTGGCTGCTATGGAGCAGGAGAAAATGTGGGGCTAGTTGTCGTTTTCAGTAATTGTGTTGCACTGTAAATAAGAGCAAGTAGCTCGTGGGCCATCAGGGGCAGCAGAATGCAAGATTTTCACCAGGTCGTTGTCCCGAGTTAACTCAACTTCATTCTTGCTTCATGTGCATGAGAAACCCACATGCAATTATGTTTCTTTAGGTCTAACTATAGTGGATTTACCGGCTTCAGTTACTACAGTTAGAATAGTGATGTTATGTGAAAACAAGAAAAGATTTTCTAAATTATTCATGGTATACATTATTTTAAGTTGACTAGTGTAGCCTGGGCCCATCGTCATTACAAATGAACAGGGTCACCTTGCCCAGGGCTTCTGACCTGTTATATCCTTGGCCTCTTTATGGGGTCCCTGTGTGCATTAACATCCTCAGGCCACTGACAGCATGGCATCTTAGTATCAGCAGACCCCTCATGTCACCTCTGGCCTTGGCTAATCAAAGGGTTTACCTTAAGGGGGGCATTTAGCCCTGTTCGTCAGAGCCACTCCAGTAGCCATAAAGAAGTATTTATATATTTCCATCTGGAACAACCTGTCGTGGCTAGGGAAACTAGGTATTGATCCAGATATTTTGTCATTTCTTTCTGCGTGCACCATCAATATTGTGCAAACATCCGTCCACACAAGGGTTGACCTCAGCCCCAGCCTCTATTTTTTCTCCCATTGGAGTTCAATGATATACTATTCTGAAAAGTAAAATCAATGAATGAATATGAAGTTTTGGTGTGTAATATAGCACAGGCCCAAGGGCCCAAGTCTTTCATTGATTTGTTATGTGGGTGTTGGAGGTGGCTGATTAGTCTGCTGCTGAGCTTTTCCACTACATGCCTTTACCTTGTCCTACCTATTTGATCTTTGCCTCATATATTTAAACTAAGGTGTTTACAGATCAGCTTGGTTAGTCAGGCCTCTTTTTAAACAATTTCAGCCAACGTACTAAAGTTGTAATGCATTCATGATCTTGCACTGTTTGGTCAAGGAGTGTCACAGCTTGTATTAGGCTGAAATTAATGAGAGATGACATACAGTGTGTTTGTTGAAATGGGATTGATTCCCATATGTTGAACTTCATCTGTGATATAATTATTACATTCACTGATTATATGTCCTACAACCAGTGACATTTAAACAAAAGTGAGCTGTTTCCTGAAGTTAAAATGATGCACTGAGCTACTGTGCATTACCCATGAGATTGGTTCTCTCTTGATAACATTGTGTTATCAGCCATAGAAGGGTTAGATTAGCTACTTATGATCAATGCGAGAAACTCTGTGTTGTTCCTTCACTTCCTACCACCTTTTTATAGCAGGCTGTGTTGAATGCATGACATTGTAAAGGCGCACGGTGTCAACATTTGGTTTACATTTGGAAGAATATCAACTTTTATGGTCCTGTCTGCATTGCCTCAGGGTGCATGGCTAAGATGACTTGCCACAAACGCCCATGTGTGGCTGAGGACCTGTGATCTTACTAAACATGTAATTGAAATACCAGAGATAGTCTTTTGCTAGACATTACAGTTTGGTGCGACTGTGGGAATGAACTCTATAGTGAATCATACTGTAACTGGAAAGAGGTTTCATTTAAATACCAGCTGCTATCTACTCATCTCTAAGAAGTTGGCTGTGCATACGGCATTAGGAAAGATGTGACATAAAAAAAATTGTATCAGAGGCACAATGAGACATTTTTCCAGAGTTTCTACAAATATGAGGCAACATCGTGTCTTACACCCATGCCATCATGATTAGTTTTATTTCCTGTGAAGAATACAGTACTAGCAGCCTTACTCAGTGCAACTCTTTTTCCAAATCCCTTTCCAAATTCCTTGTGTGTGTAATATACTTGGCCAAAAGAAGTGCTTATCATTATCATTTCTCTTTTGGAAGCAGT